TATGTATCTGCTTGTTGTGCCAACTACGCTTCGTGGTGACCTTTTACGTGCGTGTCATGATGAGCCATCATCCGGACACCTCGGCTATACGCGCACGCTGCAACGGATTCAACGCTCCTACTACTGGCCACGTCTCGCGAAGACTGTGAAGCACTACGTTCGCACATGTCGCGACTGTCAGCGACGTAAGATTCCACCTTTACGACCAGCGAGACTACTGCGCCCAATTGGCCCACCAAAGGCGCCCTTTCATCAGATTGGCATGGACTTGCTGGGGTCATTCCCCACGTCTTCGTCTGGAAACCGGTGGATTGTCGTCGCTACAGACTACTTGACGCGCTACAGTGAAACCAAGGCACTTCCAAAAGCCACCGCAGCCGATGTCGCCCAGTTTTTTGTTAACAGCATCGTCTTACGTCACGGTGCTCCAGCTGTCGTCATAACTGATCGTGGGACAGTTTTCCCCGCAGAGATCCTGCAGGAAGTCTCGCGATTAAGTGGCACGGAGCATCGTAAAACAACGTCTTACCACCCGCAAACAAATGGGCTGACTGAACGACTCAATAAGACAATTGCAGACATGCTGTCAATGTATGTGGACATCGATCACAAGAACTGGGACACCATACTTTCCTACGTAACTTTTGCGTATAACACTACTGTTCAAGAAAGTACCGGTTTCACACCTTTTCGCTTAGTCCACGGTCGCGACATCACGACGATGCTTGACGCCATGCTCCTGCCCGACAACTTAGGAATATACCACACGGATGCCGCCAAATTCGCGCAGTGCGCAGAAGAGGCCCGTCAACTTGCTCGTCATCGTATTCAACGTCACCAAACTGCAGACGCACACCGCTACAATCTTCGCCACCGTGAAGTTATTTTTAAGCCAGGCGATGAAGTCTGGGTGTGGACCCCTATCCAACAGCGTGAACGTGCAGAAAAGCTTCTTCGCCGCTACTTCGGCCCTTACAAGGTTGTGCGACCTCTCAGCGACGTCACTTACGAGGTTCTCCCAGAAGGCACTACGAGACGTTCCCGTTTCACCCCGCAAACTGAAGTTATTCACTTTTCACGTCTCAAAGCATACTTTTCGCGCTGTGAATCGCCAGTGAGTGACTGACTTTATTGGTAACTTTGCGTCTTTCTTTTTGTTTCGTCTTTTCCTTACTTTTTATCTATTTTTCTTATTTCTCATTTAACTTTTGTCCCCACAACCAACTACGTTATTCCGCCTTACGCCATTCATTTTGATCGCATGCTAATTTTCATCTAATTTTCTTTTTTTTTTGCCTTCATGTACAGCATCGAGACGATGCTTCTTGGGAGAGGGGGTAATGCCACCATTGATGAACGAGCCACTGTGGCTCATACGCGTTTTTGGGCGCGAAGAAGAAGAGAACTTCTTCGTTGCGCTGGTTCAAGTGAACTCCTGGCTGCAGGTCTTGTTTTGTTCGTGACAATATAGTCCAGTAGATCCTCCGTGAGCGGTCACAACGTGATTTATTTCGACGTTTTGGCCTAGAGTGTGGCCTTCATCAGGATTGAAGGTACAGTTTTTTGGTGCTCAGCTTTATACAATCTCAAATCAGAGGAAAAAAAGAAATGTATGAAAACTGATATGAAAGGCGATATATGGGCATATATAAATTCAAGTCACACGATTTGACGGGCGCCTGATACACGTGTAAAAAGATATTGTTTCTATGCGCGAGCATATGGCGAGCATGTTGTTTACAAATAAAATGTAAAACACATTAAAGATAAAGCGCATAACATGAAGGGTCCGACCGGTAATAGCAATGTCAAAAAAAGAAAAAAGAATAATAGAATAATAACATAGAAAAAACACTAGGAGCTATATAAAAGACGTTACGAAGCTGCTACGTAATCAACCGATACAGGCAATTTAGCTTGACTTGCTCAGCACGGTAGAGAACGGATGGACAGGGTACATGTTATACATGTATACATGTTATACAGATAGGCAACTGAGTTTTCCTACGTTTTCATTTAGACCAGATGCGACGGCGTCGAACGTATAGATGAGGAATGATTTGCGGGCTTCTGTATAATAATTTGTGCGGAAACCTGATTCGAGTATAGTGACCTGTAGATTTTCAAAAAAGTGGTCAGAAAGGTGCACGTGTCTTGAAATGTGCAAGGGGAGGGGGGAGGTGTCAGCATGAGATTTATAGTTGTTAAACGCAGTCTAAAAGGCCCTTCTGTATGACCAATGTACTGTATTTGCATAGCACACATACTATCATGTATATCACGTTCTCAAAGTCGCAGTCAAGATTGCCTCTGATTTAAAAAAAAAAGTTGGAACCAGTTCTGGTGGCTTGTTGGCATGTGCGTATGTATGGGCATACTTTGCATCGCGGTTTTCGGCAAAGACGGCACCCGATCGCATCAGGACTGTCTGTTTTCGACGATAATGATGATGAGAGTATGTTAGAAATATTTTTAGCTTTGCGATACGCTGCTTTAGGTGATTCGGTGAAAGTGATTCTTAAGAGTTCGCTTTGCATCAGAATATTGTGGTGCTTTCTTAGCACATTCGAAACAAGCGAAACTGAGGCAGAATGGGTAAAGACTAAGTTTGTCTGCGGTGGGGGAGTCGAGTTTTCAGCAGCGCACAACAGCGTTCTACGATTATGCATGCTGGCACGTTTTATTGCGTCATCAATTAATTGCGGCGGATATTCTTGTTTGACTAGAGCATCCTTTAGTGTTCTGCAATTTTTTTTTAAAACTCTGATTGCTCTGAGAAGATTCTTTTATGCCGTAAGGCCTGACTGTAAGGGATGCTAGTTTTGCGATGTTTCACGCGGTTACTGTCAAAGTACAAATACTGATGCCGGTCCGTAAGCTTCTTGTAGAGAGCAGTGGATAGTTTATCATTTACAACCTAAATGCTGACATCAGAAAACTAAGCGTAGATGTAGAATATGTGTGAGAAAATGATATTGATGGATGGACATCGTTAAAGTCAGATATGAAGGAAAGCAACTTCTGTTCACCATGCGGCCGAATAAGAAAAATGTCATGTATATAGAGTTTATAATAAAAAGGTTTCAGCTTGCGGGTTTGCAAAAATTCACTTTTCAGCTGGCCCATAACTATATTGCCGTAGTTGGGTCCGATACGCGTACCCATTGATGTGCCGCTAACCTGGACATAGTGTTGCCCTTCAAATTGAAGGGTATTTAGCTCTAAAATGAGCCTGAGCAATACTGCTAATCTGTTGCTGTCGATAATTTTATCCGGCGATCCTGCTTCATAGGACTTGGCGACTGCCGCTATTTCGTCTACATGCGGAATGTTCGTGTATAAAGCCGATACGTCTAGTGTGACCCAAAAAGAACTTTGAAGAGTAATCAGATCCATTATACCAGAAACAAAGCCGGTAGTGTTACTTACATAAGATGGAAGTGATGCTGGGTTACTACTAATCACAGAATCGACATGCTTGACAATTTTTTGTGACAGTACCTATACTTGAAATAATGGGAGGGCCGGGGTTGTTTATCTTGTGTATTTTAGGCAAAAGATAAAAACGACGGGGAACAGGACATAGTGGAATAAGGGAATGAATCGCATTGTCTGGCACCGTTTTGTTTTCTAGAAGATCTAGCAAACGGCTTTGGACAAGAGATTTAAATTGTTCAGTAGGATTTTGATCAAGACGCTTGTAAAAACTCGTGTCTGCTAGCTGTCCTTTGGCCTGTGCTTCGTAATCAGGCTTGTTCTTTACGACAACAGCCCCACTTTTGTCCGCAGGCTTGATGACGATGTCGCTGCGAGAGGACAAGGCATTTAGTGCTTTCATTTCACTGGTAGATAGGTTGCGGTGAAACGGTGTTGCTTTCGATACAACTGTAGTACATCTCGTCGTACAGCTTTGATATACATATCCAAGCATCTGTCTGGTTGTGAAGGAATTACCAACGTTTTCCAGGAGGTAATGCGCTTGTGGAATCATTTGTATTTTGCTGGTCTTGAAAAAGCTCGCGCAAGCGTAAGTTGCGCGCAAAATTATCCAAGTCTTTCGTTAAAATTCACTGTGTCTGCCTGTAGCAGGACGGAAATTGGGACCGCATGACAAAACAGTGCGCTTCTCAGCTGTTTGTACAATGTCCGAAACTTGTACTATATTGTTCTGCTTCTTGATGGATTGTTTGTCAATGGAAGGTGGCAAAAAAATATCGGGGTAAGCTTGTACTAATTTCGTTTGCAAAGGGACGGAATTGCTTGCATCTAAAATGTCTATCTAACATGTCTATCTAACATGCCTCAGCAAAATATAGATAGGTAGGATAAGATATTAAGAAATAATTCACTACAACTCACCCGAGTTACCCTTGATCATTATTGTTCTTCAAGCAAAAAAAATCTTGAACCAACAAAATCAAATTTCCGCAAATTTAGGCATGTTGTTTCATGATTCCGCCACACTAGAGGCATTCGCATATAAAAGGCGTCGTGAAATGCACGCATTTAAAATTAAGAAAATGTCGGGTGATGGTGTCTGTCTGGTGCCCCCTAGCCAGAACAATGCATGCCATCCCGTCCCTTTGCAAACGAATCTGGTACAAGCTTACCCCGATATTTCTTGACTATATATTTCTTGATCTACTTGACTTACGTTGGTTGATAAAGACAAATTAAGACTTATTTGGCCATTTTTATAAGGTATGTGTTCGTATACATCACTACGGGCAAGTAAAACAACACAAGGTCAAGGAATTGATTCTCAGTCATGGCAGCCGCATTTCCAAAGGAAGCAAAAATGCTTGAGCATCGCGTATAAAAAATTTAGTGCACGACAAAAAATTCCGCATGTTCAAAATTTTCGGAGCCGCCCCACCAATCACATCGTGCTTTTATGATGTTCAACTCTAAAAGTTCATATACTTCAGGTAACATAAAACGTCAGCTTTCAGACATTATTGACTCTTAGCCCATTCATTGAATATTTTGTGCTCGAGCAGATTATACCTCAACCAAAGCCACGCAGCAAGCGCTGGATCAGCACGTCGGCGCCTGAAAGCCGTTGGAAGGAACCTGGCGCCCTGCTATGCTCCGCTGAGTACCAAACAAACAACTTCGTAAGCCCAGTGCTGTTCTGCGAGGCCCTGAAGCATGTGCCTGAGGACGCTATCTTGCTGGAGATCGGACCACATTGCCTGTTGCAAGTGAGTGGTATGCCAGTGTCTACAGAGCTCAACTATGGTTTCAGGCCATACTCCTAGCTTCTGTTTCACTATTTCGGGCGCAGATATATAAGCCTTGGAAGATCATGCGCTCTGCTGTAGCTTGCTCCCCCCCTCCATTCTGTATGACATGACGAATGACTGAAAAACAAAGAAAACAAAGACTTCTGTTTAAGGCATTTTAAACCTATGCTCGTCATCAGGCGGATGCTGCTAATGCATGATTGTTTCGTGTGTGTACTTTCGGATGTTTCCGGTATCTTTTTTTTTTAATTTAGGCTTTCGATTCAATTTCAGGCTTGGAATAGCTATAAGCTATGAACCAGACTCACTAACAAAATGCTTCTCTGACGTCTGTTGCGTTGAATGTATAGTGTCACGTTGTCATGACGCTGAAGATGCCAACACTCGGATGGTTTAGGTGGAACATTTTTTCGGAGTAACGTGTGCCCGGGCAACGAAGTCTGATGCTATACAAGCAATACACGCTTCACATTGATAGCCGTCAACGAAGCATCGGCCGTCGATGATCTGATTTGTGGTGAGGTGCGTCGGCATATATACATCACTCATGTAACATTAAGGCTCGAGTGGTGGTACTCACGAGAACTCTCAATTAAACTTCAGTATTCGCCTCCTCCTTGTACTATTAACAAAATGAGTTCCAGCAGTTGCGAAGGTTCTTGCATGTTCCGCCACGTTCTGCGCCATGTGTGGCTAACAGTGTTGGCAATTGTAAGGAAAACACGTCAAAACAAAGCACTGTAGATACAAGTGGAAAGAAAATAGCATCACCACATGGATGTTGTGGGCTTATGCATATATACAGAAAACGCACAATCAACTGAGTAACTATGAGTGAATGGGCCCTTGGTGCACTAGCGAACGTCGAATGCCAGCTGGTATTTAGTTTCTTAGTGTTCATCGAATAATCACTTATCCCAGTGCCATGATGTGATGATTCTCGCTGAACTTCCGCACAAAGAGATATAGATGAAATGAGGAAAAGCACACAAATGTAGTGTCTTTGTTTTGAACTCACCCACAAGTGCTTGCCAGGGCTGATAATTTTCCTCCCAAAGGGCAATTATGAACTAGATTTCGGCACCACGTGTGCACTAATCAACAGCTTGTGAGAAGAGCTGTTAAGCCTACATTACTTGCAGGGGCGAAATAACAATACTCTCCTTCTATGGACCACTGGTTGTAGCGAAATATATGTTATATATGTGTAGTACATGAAAGCATAAACCTGAAAAAAACACTGATCAGGAAAAGAAGTTGGAATAAGCAGAAAGTTCTGGCGCCCAACTTCAAAAGCAAGTTTTAGATTAGAACACTCTGCGCAAGCGTGCATAAAAAAATGGTTGTTCAATATAACGTGTCAAGATGCTGTATCTCATTTCGGTAAAGTGAAGCAGGTGTATCACGAATGCAACCCGTGCCTGTCTTTTTGATCCGAAACACCTACACTAACTCTAGCACTTACGTGTAGCTGCTTCTGCCTATTATCTTGATCTCACTAAGGCGAGAATCACGTATATAAGCTATACAGTGCACAGATAAGTGTGCATTTTCTTTATCCTTTAAAGGAAATATGCTATATTTAACTATACCAGTCGGCGAGACAGTCAGCAAAAAGAGTGGTGTTCGAATATTTAAAAAAATCGGAAAAATACAAATAGATTAGCATTCCATTTGATTCGGTGCACCAATAAAATATAATATACCCAAACTACATAATAATCTTGGCATAAATTTCAAATAACCGGCACCATTTCCTTGGCATCCAAGTAAGAAAAAGTTGAAAGAGCAAAAAGCAATCTTTTTGTTGTGCTTATTTAAAAGTGTACAAATTTCAAGCTTGAACGGGACTGCAAACCTTTACTCGTAACTGGAGTGGAAAATTCTTGCTTTTAGACTTTATTCTAGCCTATACAAATGTGATCGCAGCCCACTACCATTATTTGAGTTTCATGGCGATGGTCATTGACCCGAAAAGCTGGTGACAAGGTACCTCTACTAATCCTCGATTTGGGGCTAGTTGGTGCATTGCGTCAAGAAAATATATCCACACAAAAAATAAAGAAACACAGGAAACAGAGTAGCAAATGGTGCTTGAAATACTGGAGTCATTTCACATTGCATGATGGGTGAGGAATGTGGCACTGCTATGTCTCTGACGTTGCGCAGGAAGGAAATATATTTCCTGCAATTTTTTTCAATTATGTTGAGTGAATGATATGCCAACATCAAATACAGTGATTGTACGTTAGGTTATTGTATTTTTACTATTTTTCTAAAAAAAGAACTGTACCAGGAACATGCAACCACGTGTGTATATATACTAGCCTCTCACATTCCTAGATGAACAGTTGGTAGCCCAGTTGCTTTCCTGTCTTCTTCGTTTCCTGTGGATGAATTAGAGAAGGAACTTTTTATGTAATCCTGAGAAACGCGCCCAACGCGCCGTGGGCTTCTCCGGCGTTCATTTATTTTTTAGCTGAATATGATTTGTTCATACAAAGTACCACTTTGAAACTAATTTCACTTATTTTTTCATTATACAGCTTAAGAAGAATATACTGAAAACAGGTATTCGCTGCTGCCGTTTCTGCTAAACATGGGCTCACCTAAGCCTATGTAAATGTAGCACAAGCATTTTCTAGCGTGAGGATAAAAGTAATGTACAATTCGAAAGTTTCTGAATATATGTTTCACATAAACTATTACAGCAATATAGGCCTAGCCTAAAACTTGTCCCGTTTTTCAACTTTTGGAAAAGAATACTATTTACACTCGATTTGGTTGTCAGTATCACCATTCACTCAGTTCTAGGGGGAAAACAAGCGCATGACAACCGCTATTTCCTTTCGGGTATTATACGCTGAATTCGTTGCGGCTACAAAACCGTGGTCAGAATTTTCGTCCACCGCTTGCACAATTCGTTTACTTTTTAGGGCGAATTTTCAATTCAAAATTCTACGTTATAAATACTAGCGCTTTTTTTTTCATTATGGTCGACATATTCTCAACCATGAATACCAAGGGATGCTGATTGGTGGCAAATTGATGATACAGAAGTGATTAAGAGACCGAAGTCGAACTGCCAGTCAGTTTCTAGTACACTTCCTCAATTGTCACTCATAATTCTGTTCTTTTTGTTCTAAAATATTTGCGTAGTGATGCTAATTATTGTAATACAGGGAAAACGTGCTGGTCTAGTCGAACGTTGAAAGGCCTAAATTTCCGATAATGTGTCTACTAGCCCCTATAAAGATGTTTTGCAATGCCTACCTCTTTCTCTATAGATTAAAACTTTTCCATCTGACCTCATTTCACGGATCTCCCATCATAAATTTGCTTCAAATCAGTCATCACACGAAATGCATGTTTTCAAATTTTCTTTCGCGAGAGAGCTCAAATAAGGAAAGAGTGCTCATATATTGTCGTAGTGATGAATAGGTAGGTTTTACCCCCCTACTTCCTTGCAACATATCTGGGAAAAAGTTTGCTTCAGTCTTGTCGGAGTTACTGTTGTTCAAGTAATTTGATTTCTCCGAGCACATGCCTTAGAGTTCATTAGAGCATTTCCTTTTTTTTTTGTCTTACCACGAATCGTCACACGCTCGTGCACGGCTTCGGCTAACAGCAGCGTCAATTGGGAAATTCCTGCTTCTCCATAAAACGGCACGTGCTGTCCGAGCCTGTTTGATTAGATGCTGTTGATGGGACAAATAGACTCATGTGCCTCGCAGTTTACCCGGAAGAGAACGACTGGCATTTCTCTTCCCTCTACCCAATCTTGTGGTTGTCATGAATCACGCGTAGCGGTATTCTATATCTTTCATTTTTGAGCAAGTAGCATGAACTTTTGGCAGCGTTTTTTTACTGTGCTAATTCATGTCCATCTAAACTATTCCTTGCTGGGCGTGTGCTTGGACATTTTTCAGGCGATCCTGCGAAGAGCTGTAGGCCCTGATGCCAGCTGCGTGGGCCTCATGAAGCGCCATGTGGACAATGTGGAATATTTTCTGCGCTCGTTGGGAAAACTTCATATCCTTGGAGTGGAGATGGACTTGTCAGTGATGTACCCTCCAGTTCCGTGGCCCTTGCCCCGCGGTACCCCAAACATTGGTCACTTGGTTGGCTGGGACCATTCTCAAAGCTGGGATGTTGCACAATGGAAAGATTTTTCTTCGCCTGAACAGGTATCATCTATTTGTGTGCTTTACGAAGCAATAGAAAATAGTAATTTAAAATAAATTGAGTAATTGTTGCTCTGTGGGAAGAACTCTTTAGATAATAGGTTTCATCGTGGCCAAGTGTGGCTGTAGACTTTGTGACAGTGTGCCAGCTTCATGCCTGACTACAATACCAAACAACTTCACAACGTTCAAATTTCACGGGCTAATCATCTGCACAATCGCTTACATCGACAAAGTTTGCCCAATCACCTTACGTAATTTTTACAAATGTGTTAAAATTGACAGCCGTCCGTATGAAGCCTGCGTGCTTTGTATAGAGTGGTAATCTGGGTTGTAGCCAGAATTTTTTTCAGGGGCAGCGTAGATTGACTAAAGTTTCTGTATGCTAACGGGTGCGTTTGTAAGTGTGCGTGGATATACGCACGAGCAAAATGGAAAAGTTTCGGGAAGTTTGAGCCCCCCTCCCCGACCCTCACCCTGGCTAAGCCACGGGTGGTAATTCATCTACGAAATACAAGAGCACTGGCAAGCTTTTTTTATAAAACGGCAATAATATAGATAACATTTTTGTGAACAGGTTATTCCGAAAATGAAATTAAATTTCAGCACTCCTGCAAACCTGATGTGTGTGCAGTAAGATACTTCAATAGCGAAAACTCATTCCATAAGTCCGATGGCATTCCGTTTTTCATAGTGGTTTTCTTGAATATTTTCTCTCTTTAAAGACAAACAAATATTTTAAACCAAGTTGCACCAAAATGACAGAGCTACCTGATGCCACAAAACATTGTTTAAAACATCTGGATAAAGCTGTGTATAGACCGCCTTCGTGGCTTGTCCAACACTCCTAACGCACTAAGTGATGGCAGAGACTTGACCTCGTTTAACAAGATAGATTGAAGCATACGGTCGTAATGTGCTGTTACAAAAGTATAGAAATTGACTGTTGTTCATAAGGGTTTACGTGGTGCACTGAGCCCCATAAATCGGTAGTAGTACGTGTTGGCGCTCTCACTAAACAACAGATTCGAAATGGCACCATGTTAGGGCCAGCTTCCAACGTGCTTGGTTGTGGAACTTTTTGTTGCCACGATAATGGCTATACGGCAGTGACCTAGCAAAATGTTTTCCAGGCCTACCTGGTTCATTTATTCTTGTAAAAATCTTGTGCGAAGCAACACAAGCAAAGACGAAGAACAAGTGACCGACAATGTATATATTTATTTTTCCTGGTAGAGCGTTCAAAAAAAAAGAATGTTAAGCTTTTTAATAATAGAAGCTTTATATGAACCTGTTGCTTCTTAAGTCTATACATTTTGCACTCGTAAACTGTGGCTACACAGCTTGCAAATGCCCTGACGAGCTCAGAAGGTCTGCGCTTTGCACAACAGTTTTTCTGTGAGTATTTACTTCTGGTCACTGCATATGGCTCCAAAGGCTTGATTGGGTGAGAACTTAAGTGAAGATAGCATCGTAAAAGCTTGAAAAATACTCAAAAGTGATATGGATGTTTCTTTCTGTATAGGTAATTTTCCACCAGCAAAACACTTAGATCACTTCTTCCACACTAAATATAAAACAACATGGTTGCCGAAGGCCGCCGTTCTAGGGAAAAGTTCAAGAATTTCATGATTGCTAAAGAATTAAAAAAATCACATTGAACATACACTCTATAGACTGCAGAATGTACCACAGCCGTAAAACGACCAAGTTACTCTTCAGAGTGTTCTCTCACTCTCGTAAAGCATCCAATAGAGTGAAAATAATTTTCGCTCTGTATGAAATGAGATAATGAAACTGCTTTTTATTGTACCTCTTTTTGAGCACATGTGTGCACATATACTCTTGAGGCATGAGAGAGCAAAACGTGGTTATACTCCTGCTTCTGGTTACATTTGGATGCGTCGGCACATCGCGAGTGATTAGCACTACTTATTAAACACACATGTAAGCAGTGAGACATACTGCATTTGCTTGTTCAGGCGGTAGAGAAGATTAATATGTACGCAGTGAGAGGTATCGCATTTGCTTGTTGAGGCGGTAAAGAAGATTAACATGTACGCAGTGAGACGTACTGCATTTGCTTGTTGAGACAATACAGAAGATTAACATGTACGCAGTGAGATGTAGTGCATTTGCTTGTTGAGGCGGTAGAGGTGATTACCATGTACGCAGTGAGGCGTACTACATTTGCTTGTTGAGGCGGTAGAGAAGATTAACTTGTACGCAGTGAGACGTACTGCATTTTCTTGTTGAGGTGGTAGAGGTGACTACCATGTACGCAGTGAGGCGTACTGAATTTGCTTGTTGATGCGGTAGTGAAGATTAACATGTACGCAGTGAGACGTACTGCATTTGCTTGTTGAGGCGATCGAGAAGATTAACGTATACGCAGTGAGACGTACTGCATTTGCTTGTTCAGGCGGTAGAGAAGAATAACACTTACGCAGTGAGACGTATTGCATTTGCTTGTTGAGGTGGTAAAGAAGATTAACATGTACGCAGTGAGACGTACTGCATTTGCTTGTTGAGGCGGTAGAGGTGATTACCATGTACGCAGTGAGACGTACTGCATTTGCCTGTTGAGGTGGTAGAGAAGATTAACATGTACGCATTGAAACGTGCTTCATTTGCTTGTTGAGGTGGTAGACCTGATTAACAAAGAGAACAGCTTTTGCCGCGCGTGCCAGTGAATTTCAGCACACTGTAAAGCACTTGGAGCTCTTAATATCCGTGCTTTTAGCTTCGGACCTGCGTAGTGAAATAAGCGAATACTATCTTATAGAATTGGTCAAGATTGAAGCTCGACGCAAACAGCGATGCCATTCTTCTTATATAATATTGATAATTATTGCTACCACCATCGCACACGCGGTATGCTGCCGTAAGCCTAGCGTACGCTATGGCTACAGTAAAGCATTTCAATTTCAGCCATAGAAGGTGAACAAGACCGTGAACAAGAAAGGCCGAAAATATGTCAAAAGGGGAAAAGATCTAAAACACTTCAGAGGCGCGTTGTACACTTCAGAGGCGCGTTGTTTCGTACGCAGAAATGATTACCCACTTCACGAGTCAGTGCAAATGCCGCTCATATATTATCAGTCACGCAATTTTTTTATTTTTTCCACTCTAAAGTACGTGTCGGATAGACGTTATGATCTCACGAAGCGCAAAACAAACACAATAAGTACGTTAGATACAGTACGCCTGGTTTTGAGAGGCGCAAAACCACCGAAATCTGCACTTCAAAACAAGAAAATGCAGTCAAAGCACAAACATTTCTTATGACATGAGAAATTATAAACTGGTGTACCGTCTTTCAGTGTGCTGTTGTGGTTACCGTGTCAGGCTCGCTATGTGCAGTATGTACTGAAGTCGAAGTTTAGAGGTCCTTCCGAATTCTTTATAACCCTTTTTTGTCTTAATTATTTAGACATCCTTTTTATTTAGCCATTCTTGCGAACAACGTACAAGAAAATTTGTCAAAAATAATTAAACAGCCCGATATCCACCCAAGTTCCGCTATTGTTTTTCATGAGGCGCACTGTTATTCTCCTCGGTAGGGTAATGATACTCTACTACGTGTAGCGTTGTGTTACTCTGTTGAGGAGGAGTGCTCGGCCCGTTCTAGGGGAGTCACTGCACTCTGCCTCAACAAGAGGGGAAGTACTCTGCAAAAGAGAGTGAAATTTAGAACAAGAAAGTACTCTCCCAAAGACAGCGCCCAGCACTCTCTTTGTTTTACAGCAAAAGCTGTTATGAGGTCAAAACTTGGGTCACCCACAGTTGCATGTTGTCCGTCACCGCCGCCGGGGTCCGTAACCACATCGCGCGAAATTAGAAAAAATACCTGGCGCCAACGACCCAGTGGTGCTTGAACTCGGGTCCGCTCGGTGCAAGTCAAATATTCTACCACTTAGTTACGCCGGTGCTTGTAACTTGTTGTCAAACTTGCAATAAGCTGACATGACCTAGCACCGATGGCACAGTGGGGCTGAAAGCCGGGTTCGTTTGGTGCCGGCCAGTATTCTACTACTGAGCTACTCCGTTTCTTGTGGCTTGTTGTCGAACTTGCCTTAAGCAGGCTTGATGGGGGTAAGCAATTGCGGTAATATGACTTATAAAGCGTTTTACAACAGCGAACGAACAACCAGTCGTTGTACAATGTGATTAGCGTAACAAGTTGGCCATCCAATGCTCCTACCACTTTCAAAAGCTTGTTCTTGTTCCGTATTAACTGTGGCGTATACGTACTTCAGCCATAATTCCTCATCGTTGTCAGCCACTGCATGGACAATGGGCACATAATTCCTAGCAAGCGTTTAGCAGATACCATGCTTCTCCGAAGAATGACGAAAGATAGCATAGCGAATGCCGACATACTACCCAAAACTTTCTTATTAATGCCCTAGTGAGTACACAGTAAAAATTTTAACACCCAGAAGGGTGCAAATGAGCTTGTCCCATAGACGACACCCTAAGGGTGTTAATTCAGCACCTTCCAAAAAGGGTGCTTTTTCATGCACCCTTAGAATAGGGTGTACATGTAAAAAAACTGTAGGGTGTTACAAAAATACCCTTAAGGAAGGGTGCCTTCGATGTCCATCACTTTTTTAGCACCCTCTGAGGAGGGTGCGAGAAGGGTGCACAAGGGTGTTGAGTGCCCATGGCAGGGGTGCCAGTATTCTTTTAGACTGCACTAATAGATATCGGCATGCACTGATTACACACTACTTGAAGAAAGTGGTCCTGATTATCAATGGTGCGCCACCTGTCGAGCTCCATTCATTGCATCTGGGCAAAAATATAAACGCGTACTATCGTGTATGAACTTGTGCTGGATCTATATATACTTCACAGTATATGCATAATGCGCGTTACAAAAAATGAAGCCTTGCTGCCCTTGCATATTGCGTTTATTTAATAGGCAAATAAAACATAAACTTTTCGTCTGCCACACAACTTTTTCACCAGATATATGTTCACGTATACGTACACTACAC